TTTAACTCCGCTTCTGCGGTGGAGCAGAATAGGTTCCTGACAGCTGCAGGGCGCTTCCCAGATGTTGTTGTCTGATCGCACCCTTTAAATCCACCCGGCATTTGCACCTATGGTGGGTCTAATTGTGTGTATGATCGCAGCTGTAGTTTGGTATTTTGTAAATTGTACTTGTTAACCTATTTGACTTGTACATGTGTATATGTGTGGTGTTATCTTGATTATGAATGTAAATAAAAGGTTTATTTAAAAAACCCAATACAACCCTGCACTGGATAGCCCAGGCAAGCCCGATCTTATCAGATCTCAGAAGCTAAGCAGGGCTGACCCTGGCAAGTACTTGGAAGAGAGACCTCCAAAGGAATACCAGGGCCAGGACACAGAGGCAGGTTATCGCTGAAAAAATGTCCTATCCCCAGTAGGGGTTGCCAGAAGTCACCATGACTTCCAGGCATGCAAGAACACACACACACACACACACAAAAACCCCAATACAAATAAAGACACAAATAAGAACCAGAGAGGCTAGTTCCTCCACACTCATGCATAAGTGGTGGGTGGGCACTGACAAATAAACAGCATAGGAAAATGGGGACGTGGAATCCTTCCTGCCTTCTTTTACTAAAGGTTGATTATCTGGGTATGTGGTAAGTAGGGATGGGCACAAACTGGCTCACGAACTAAAGTTTGTGACAAATTTGGGCAGTTTGTGGTTCACAAACTGAAGTTCATGGCTGATTAACCAGCACAAACTTTCAAGCAATTTGTGAAGGTTTGTGCTGGTTTGTGAATGGACACATTTCCAGACAGGCTGTCCCCACTCAAACAAAATGTTCACCAAACTTCAAAGCAACAGGGGGTGGAATTCTCCAGCCTTGGAAACACTCTTGTTAGTTTCAAACTAGTCCTGTCTGTTTCAAGAGCCCCCCCACTTGCCTGGTTTCTTTGTGTTTCCTGCCCATTTCTTTTCACAGAGCTTGCAAAATCCTACCCCCACCTTGCTTGGATTTGTGACTCTGTGCTTTGAGATCAGTCCTTTTAAGCTTGTGATGCTAGAGGCACAGGGTTCTGCTGGGCATTCTGTACACTGAACTAGTTGTGCAGGGCTTGAGAAAAGTCTCCTCTTCAGGGATTCTCTGGTTTGGCATTATTCCTCTTTTACTTGCATTGCTACAGTGGCACTGAATTCTGCTAAGCATTCTGTACACTGAACTGGTTGTGCTGGGCTTGCAAACCCCCCCCCACACACACACACTTGGATAGAGATTCTGTACTTCACATCAGTTCTGTAAAGCTGGCATTCCCACAATGGCACTGGGTTCTGATGGGTACTAGTCCATTGCACTGGTTCTGATGGGCTTGCAACCTCCTCCCCCTGCTCGGAGTGTGATTCTGTGCTAGACATCAGTCCTGTTGAGCTGGCATTGCCACAATGGCACTGGATTCTACTAGGTACTCTTTGATTATACTGGTACTGCTGGGCACTCTGTACATTGCACTAGTTCTGCTGGACTTGCAAAAAATCTCCCCCCACCTTCAGTTTCTACTGCAAAGATTATCTGGCCAGACCTTAGTCTTATTGGGTTTACACTGCCACAGTGGCACTGGTTCTTCTGGGCACATTGCAATGGTTCTGTTGGGTTTGCGAAAATGCCCCCCACCTTCAGTTCTTTGGGACTTTTATTCTGTTCTGCTGGGCTTCTATTGCCTTTGCATTCAAGCTTGGAGCTGTGGGAAATGATTGTTTAACTCCCTCTTTCTATACTGCACCACTAATGTTGGGGACAATATAATTCTCACCATCCCCCATCCAGAGCCAGTTCCAGGTTTGTGTGAGCCCTGGGCGGTAAGAGTATAACTTGGCCCCCTTTCCCCTTTGGTACACCCTTTTGCCTCTAATCACAGCCCCTAACATTTGGGACCTCCCCTTTGGCTCTACCTTTTCTCCTTCGGCCACTCCCTTTTCAATTTCATCTTGCTTTCTCTGATCTTTGATTTTGTAGTTATTTTTATTACTTTGTGTAAAACCAGAGAGAAGAAAATATGCCTTATATAATATTAGTCGAATGCTAGTCAATAAAATTGGCATCATTTGTGTAAAAGCAATATAAATATTGTTTTGAAGGTGCCTGGGTCTGAGAGTATGCTGAAAAGTTTCTCCACTCTGAAAGTGAAGAGGTCAGTCCACATCCCTCCAAAATGCTTAAGCAGCGATCCCCCTATACTGAAGATTTTCCTTTGGAACCATCCAATAGACAGAATGGAACTTAATTCTGTCACTCAGCACAAGATCAAAAGACCATGGCTAATACAAGAAAAATACTTATTTTTAATATTGAGAAATGCATCATTCAGTAAAGCACCTCTAATGCATCAACTAGTTGTGGCAACTGCAGCAAAGCAAATTTGACAGCATCTACTCTAACATGTAACATTCCAAGATGTCTGAGACAGAGCTTTCAAGGTCAGTTTAGGCAAATGCTGTGAAGCCACTTCCCAACTCTTTTTGTTTAAAAAAATACCAACAACAACAAATAAATGCAGTGGACTATTACATAAGCCAGAAGTGACTTGATGGCACTTTATACACACCCATTACGAAGAATTCCTTTTGCCTCCCATGTGCCAACACAAGATTCCAGTTATGCAGAAAGCAAGATACAAACCAATTCTTAGGATTTTTTCCCTCTAGAACAATGGCTTTGGTACTATTATGATAGCATTAGCCACAAATATTAGACACCAGGAATCCATACTTTTCTCTCCCTGTCCAACACAATGCTTGCAAGACCTTTTCCTGTTGTATCTGTGACATGCAGAAATCCCCCCAAAAAATTCTCCTTGATGTCCAGTGATTTGCTGGCAACAGAGAGGGGGAGTGTGTATCATTAGAGTGGGCAAATTGTCCCTTGGCACCTTGGTGAGAGTTTAGCATCTATCACCATAAAGTACAAAATTGCCATTCTCCACTTTACTGTGGTGTGAAGTCTGTAGTGTGAGGGGAAAAACCCACACTATTATTTCATTGCAAGGGTGGGGCTTGGCATATGCCTGACCCCGGAACCTGACAAAGGTTAGTCAAATGCAAGAAAGGGGGCCAATATTAAAAACTTAATGAAGGAAATATATTTTAAAAACATGTATTTATTAATCACAAAATTTAAAATTATATAAGGGCCCAATCACACGTTATGTATAAATAACAAACGATAAAACACAAGGACTGATAAATCTGACCTGACATGTTTCGGCCTACATAGGCCTTCCTCAGAGGTCAATAGTGAGGAACATATTGGCTATTATATAAATATAGTACAATCATGTAAATACAAAGTATAAATTCAATAAGGACCAGAAGCAAGTTGTTTCAAAATAAAACCACCAGGCACCAGGCTCTTTGCCTGTGGACAATTTGGCTCTACAACCATAGGAAGGCGATTTCTGGACCAGAAGTCTATATCTGAGAACCACTTGGCATGTGATTGCACTTTTAGAGGCCTCATTTGTACTTTTTACTCTAGCGCAGAGAGGGGAGCAGGGGAGCGGTGTTCTGTGACACCGGACGCAATGCGGTGCTGCTCAGGAGCGGTGCGGGTACGGTGTCATTTTCTGGAATGATGCTCCGGTGAGCCTGGACTGCTCATCGGAATCCCACCCTCGTCACCACTGAAAAGTACTGGGTTCGACGCATGGAGAACTCGGACTATGACATTCGTTCAGATGCATTTATTGTACTTCACAACAAAACAAGGAAAAACGGCCCTGCAAGGCCAACTATATACACTCCACCTGACATACCTCTGTCCCCATTGGAGGGTTTGAATTTCCCACCAAGGGTGCTATTGGTGGACTCTAGGTGGACTAGGATCCTAGGTTCCCTTTGTGTTTGGGGACCAAGCTCCTGCTTCGCTGCGGACCCCTGGTGGCGGTCCGTGTACATAACAAAAATAATTCAATAAAAAAATTAGACAGCAGCCACTGGAAAATATATGTGTAGAAAGCACATGTACCCATCTGTCTCTTTCTTTGTTCTTTGCAATTTCATTAAGTTCTGATGCCCATCTGATAATCAATATCCTGTCATTTGCGGACAGACGATGTGGAGGAGGTCCTATCAGACACCAGATTTTGTGGGGAGCTAGATTAGCTGTATCAGGACCCAAGTAAGGAAACAGTTAACAGTTGCAAAATAGATAGATGCATGTATGGTCATTTCCTGAGGTGCAGAGTTCTACCAAAACATCTTCCATCGTGTGCAGCATTTGCATGCAATGAGTTACACATCAGAACAGTTGACTCATTACTTCTTTATCATCTTTGGTAAGAATGATTTTTTAATATGTGCAATATGGGTAACATCTCAGGTTCATTTCTTCATGATTCTAAATTTTGCTGCAATGGATTTTATTGCCTTTGCTGATCTAGACTAGCATTACTGATAGCTGAACCATTCAAAAATGTTTAGCAGAGTAGTCATAGCTGCTGGCTACCAGCTATTCAAAGAGTGGCAGGACAGGGGGGAAAGGAGGCACTTTATTAAGGAGCTACAATTGCTACGAAAATGAATTCTGCTCAGATTCTAGTTATTTTTTGTGTTAAACTATGTAGGCTGATGTATTTGAAAGAAAAGTCACATTTTATTTAAATGGCATATGCATTATTTACTAAAAGTTTACATAATTGAGAGATAGTTGATATGATGATTAATGTTCTCTAGAGTGGGCAGAGAGTAGGAAGGTGGTGATATTTACTTTTGAAAGTATTATTTTGAAAAAAGTTATAGACCAGCCTTTATCCTAGAAAACTGGTATTCAAGGTGAGTGATCCAATGCATCACTGAAAACATCAAAGAACAATAGTATGCAATTTTTAAAAAAGATCACAAGTTAAAAATATTGTAAGAAAAACAATCCTATATCCTTATTTTTTTAAAAAAACAACAACACATTTTCAGTCTTTACTCACTATAAAAGCAGAACTTGAATGGCTGCTGATTTGGCAGGTGATTTTTCCCCCCTTAACCACGGGACATGAAAGCAAACTGTACTTACTTTCTCTAGCCTCAGTAAAACTTTTTACAGAATCTCCAGCTCACCCTGTGAAATGAAAAAAAAAGATCCATTGTAATGTTCAGGTACTAGAAGGCTTCTTTTATTCTGTCTGGCTTCTAGACCTTCATATCATACCTTTGCACTCTTTTGATGCTTATGTATTTATAATTTTCCTTAGTACGCTTGTTATTATTCTATAGCATGTTCCATTTATATGCAGAAGAGCCCAAAGCTAGATAATCTGGAGACAGAGGGAGGATGAGCTTCTTGTAGTCAGTGTGCACATTCTCCATGATATCCAGTGAACATGCACAATAGCTAATGCCCACGTACATTTTTTGCTCAAGTCATTTTAATCCTAACTTGAGCACATTTTTTTGGTCACAGTTACCTTTGGTCAAATGGGATTTGCTGATTTCTAAAACAACCCAAGACCTGGTAATGTTTTTTATGACATTCATTTATTCACCATCACCTGCAGTTAATGCAGAGGATCTCAACCTACTGCACTTGTTTTAACTTCCCTGTCAAGTCTGCTGTAGCTGCAGCCAGTGTCGATAGTGGTCAGCATGGGGGACTGGAGAGATTCTGGTTCAAATACCTACTTAACCTTGAAGTCTCTGGACTGACTATGGGCCAGGTAACATGTCTCAGCCTAATTTATCCCGGGGGCTACTACGAGGGCAAAACAGAAGAGGAGATATTCTCTGAGGGGATTTAAAAATGTAATGATATGGGGGGGGGGGAGAGTCCTGGCTGGTATCTTCTTGCAGAGGAAAAAGTTACGTGTGCAGTTTCATAGATACATTGTGGAGGATGCTGTGATTTAAATTATATACACAATTTCTCTTAAAGATTGAAATGTTTGAGGATGTATTTGCTATCAGTGCAACTGTAGGAAACTGCAAAGATAGACTCAAGCACAGCTAAAGGTGAAGCAGGAGAAAAATCAGGACGAAAAGCTGGAGGCTGTAGCTACGATGTCAGTTTTCCTCCCCTGTACAAATCAGATTAGACACACTTTGCCTGGAATGTGATTTTAGTATCTCTCCTGTGCTTGTAGCCTTTCCTGATAACACACATTTATTTTAACATAAATGGAGCAGGGCCTTTGCAGTGGTAGCACTCCAGGCAATGAATGCCCTCACTTTAATGGATTGTCAGGTGCAGCATCTGTTGAGCCTTGGAACCAATTGAAGGCACAGTTATTTGTCCTGGTTTGTATTTAGTTAATTTGTCTACTTGGTTCTTCCCTCTCTTACATGTAATTTAGCAGGTTTCTATGCCTTCTAATTTTAAGATCTTTATTTGCTAACCTGTGTGTGCATTCAGACCTCAGAAGCAGATTCCTATCTGGAATTTTAAGCCAAAGGCACAATTTATCTGACGGTGAAAAGCTGATCTTTCTCTTGTCAGATATGAACCCCTTGGTCTCATGCAAGGTAGTGTTTTTTGCACGTGCAGCTAGGAAAGTCAGATCCAAGGCGGCTCTCAGAAATGTCTCACAATGAGCTTTTAAAATTACCAACTGCTGTAATCCTGACATTTTAGTTATATAACTGAGTTTTATTCTGAATACAATGTTTTAAATTATAAGTATTCTTTGAATGTAATTCTGTATTATAATGGTGAATGGCCATATACAATAAATCTAATCTACCCTAAAAACATGCACACATTTCTATCTATTTCTGGTTCTAGTTATATGTACATACGTGCCATCACATAGGCCACAAGGGTCTTTTAAGGCAAGTGAGAAGCACAGATGGTCTGCCATTGTCTTCTCCTGCAGAGAATTCCTTAGTGGTCTCCCATCCAAAGTACTAACCCTGCTTAACTTCTGAGATCTGAACTGTACCATACTGCCTTCCCTCCCATCTCTACCTATAGCTTTATTAATATGTTTACATTTGGTACTGCTTTCAGTATCCTGTGAATAGTACTTTGCTATAAGCCAATTTTGACTTTTCTGCTTCTTGCTGCAACAGGATTATGATATTTTACTGTGTGTTTATTTTGCAGTGTTACTATTGTTTTACTGTTTTTTTAAATCTAGATTTGCTTATGTTTCCAAGCTGTGCTCACACCCTTTGGGTTGGGGTGAGGTGGGGTAAAAGTAGTTGAAGCAAGCAAAAAAAAAGTTTCTTAACATTCACATCTTCATTGGTACCCCTCCCCTAATTTTATGTTTTCTTCTTTCCAAGTATGCTTACTCTGCTGCTTACAGGTGCATGGTCTATGTGCAGTGATTCAGCTGCAGACAGTCAGCATGAATCCAGCATGCACCCCCCACCCCCATGTAGCTGTGCTCATTTGTGACTGAAACAGAGATAACACAGGAAATCAGTAACAGGAACTCTGAACATTTTTAAAGTTAAAAGCAGTCCCGTGGGACTCCCATATTGCTTGCAGCAATGGTGAAGAGAGAGGTGGCACTTAGAAGAAGAGGAGGAGGAGATTGGATTTATACCCCACCCTCCACTACCTGAAGGAGTCCCAGAGCGGCTTACAATCTCCTTTCTCTTCCCCTCCCCACAACAGACACCCTGTGAAGCAGGTGAGGCCGAGAGAGCTGTGAGAGAACTGCCCTTGAGTGAACAGCTCTAAAAGAACTTCTGACTGGCTGAAGGTCACACCAGCAGCTGCATGTGGAGCAGTGGGGAATCAAACCCGGTTCTCCCTGATTAGAGTCCATGCTCCTAACCACTACACCAGACGTAATGCTTTTTCCTGCATCATTTCCCCGATCTCAATTGACCCCATTAGCCCAACACTTTAAAAAAGAGAGATGTTTGTATAGTTCCCCCATGGAATGTACCACCAGAGTTTGGCTGAAGGACCTCATCCCCAGCATAACTCTGCAACCGAGGCCCTGACATTGTCACCAAACCCCACCCACCCCCTCTGCATCAGCAAGGGTTGCTGCATACCAGTGTTAGGTAAGGGTACTTGGCCAGGACTGGCAGGGAGGAAGTAGGGCAACGACCTTTCATCCAAAGGGCCCTGAAAGCTGCACATGCCAATTCAATTGACTTTTGTAATATTTAACTCTGAGGGAGGGGGCTTACTGGAAAGGGCCAACAATTTAGCTACGATAATGCAAACCACAACACAAGCAGATTTCATGATCACGCTTCTTGCATCATCCATGTATGCAGATGGTGAACATTGCATCATTTGTGCACACTCTGGGGGTTGGAGGAGATATATATTATTGAGGTCCACAACCTACCACAATGTTGCCAGTTCTGGGTTAGGAAATTCCTGGAGACTTGGAGGTGGATCCTGGGGAGGATGGGATCTGGGTAAGGGAGGAAATTCATTGGGCTATAATGCCATAGAGTCCATCCTCCAAAGGTACCATTTTCTCCAGGGGAAACTGATCTCTGTAGTTTGGAGATCAGTCATAATTCTGGGAGATCTCCAGGCCCCACCTGGAGGTCAGCAACTGTACTTCTCATTGGTGTTAGAACATAAGAACATAAGAGATGCCAATGTTGGATCAGGCCAAAGGCCCATCCAGTCAAACACTCTGTATCATACAGTGGCCAGAAATACCAGTGCCATCAGGAGGTCCACCAGTGGGGCCAGGACATTAGAAGCCCTCCCACTGTTGGCCCCCGCAAGCACCAAGAAGACAGAGCATCACTTGCCCCAGAGCCCCTATCTATACCTTGTGGCTAATAGCCACTGATGGGCCTCTGCTCCATATGCCTATCTAATTCCCTTTTGAAACCGTCCATGCTTGTAGCCGCCACCACTTCCTGTGGCAGTGAATTCCAAGTGTTAATCACTCTTTGGGTGAAGAAGTACTTCCTTTTATCCGTTCTAACCCGACCGCTCAGCAATTTCATGGAGTGCCTCATCCATGCTAAAAATCTAAAGATTGTCTTGGTCAGTGTGTGTGGTTCTTGAGAAATATATATTCATTTGTTTTCCTGTGCAGGGCATATCAGATTAGAATCCTGGGCTGTTGTCTACATGCTGTTAACAAGAGGGGGGAAGACGTGTGATGAGAATTAGCTGTAGTGTTAGAAACCACCAAGAGGTCAGTGGGAGAGGGGGCCAGGAATATCTGAGTATACTGAACAAGAACTGTGGCTGACCCTCTGCCTACCCTTTTGTGAGTATGTTAAGCCTTGTCTTGCCAGAGGCATGATCCTTTGGCACATGCTGAGGGGCAACAGCCCAAGAGCTCTTGGCCCTTGATTCTGAGCCTGTGGCCCTCTGGGAGCCATGGTGGCAGAGTCAGCACCAACCCAAGCCAACTTTATAGCTCATTACCTGTTGAGGAGTGCATTAAGTAGCTATCCATTTGCAAGCCATAGTAAAGGTAAAGGTTCCCTTGCTCGAAAGCCAGTCGAGTCTGACTCTAGGGTTACGGTGCTCATCTCCATTTCAAAGCCGAAGAGCCAGCGCTGTCCGAAGACGTTTCCGTGGTCATGTGGCTGGCATGACTAAACACCAAGGCGCACGGAACGCTGTAACCTTCCCACCGAAGTGGTACCTATTTATCTACTTGCAATTTCTTGCTTTCGAACTGCTAGGTTGGTAGGAGCTGGAACTAAAGATGGGAGCTCACTCCATCATGCGGCACCCGGGTCTCGAACTGCTGAACTACTGACCTTCCACAGCCTGCAGTTCAGCGTCTTAACCACTTGAGCCACCGCAGCTCCATTTGCAAGCCATATCTTGGTTTAAGTCGGCTTGTTTTATATGCAAGCTACTTTGAATCCTCAGCATGAAACAAAAGTGGGGTTCAAAGATTTAAATAAATAAATCTGATAGCGGGCATCTCCTTACATTCTGAATAGAAATAAATAGGGGTTGCACACACAAGTAGATTGTAGAAGGTGCTTCTACACCTTAAAGGTTGATTCATATGTTACTCCGGGGGGCTTTAATTCATTGGAGTGATTTATTGATACCCGCAGTGTCTCTACATCAGCGACTAGTTCATGGACCTCAACAGCAGCAATCTTTTTAAAAATCTTTTATTTATCTTTGGATTTATGTCCCGCCCTACCCCGAATGCTCAGGGCGGCTAACAAGAGGCACAGAGTGCCAACATTAAAACAAATAAAAACAGCATAGCAATAAAACAATAAAATGCAATAACAAAATATCAGTGCTCCATTTATCACAAGATGGGGTAGATCTTATTCCCATAGTCTGTCATCCCTTCTCCTGCCTTCTTTACAATTTAATGTTTGTTTTGCAGTGTCAGAAAGCAGAGAAGATGCTACAGCTGAGATCCAGGTGAGCATCTGTGAGGATGTTCATGCACTCAGTCCTGTGTAAAAAAAAACGGACTCCAGGTAATATGAAAACTATTTCCAAAAACACTTTCCACTGTCATAGTTTACAGTTTAAACAGAAATCCCCTGTGTCACCTGTATGTTGTTTTTGTAAGGACTAATACAAATGTTCTATGCCTGGTTTTACCATAGAGTTTCTGGCAATCCGTAGAGAGATGTGAAGCCATATCTGACATGGTATAATGCCAGAAGTGGCATTGTGCCATTGCTGACAGCCACCTTCCCATGCCCCTGCCCCTTCCAGTCTCCTGCTGGTTGTGAAACAGGGGATAACAGGCCTAAGTGGGCTGCTTGCTTTTTTAATATGTTAGTTTTAATACTGATAATTTTCATGCTTGTAGTTCTATGATTTTATTATTGTACTGTTTGCATTTTGTGAGCTGCCTTGAGTAGGTTTCTAGAAAGGCAAGATATACATTTCCCCCCCCCCTAAATAAATCAATTGCTGTCTTCAGTGAATGACTTGCCTCTCACTATCTTGGCTGCATGCACCCAGCTATGGAATTTTCCCATCACAAAATGTACGGCAGCTTTTTTTTTTAAGCTTATTCTAGGGTTGCCACCCTCCAGGTGGGCCTGGAGAGCTCTCGGAATTACAATGGTCCTTCAGAGCGAGTTTGGTGTAGTGGTTAAGTGTGCGGACTCTAATCTGGGAGAACCGGGTTTGATTCCCCACTCCTCCACTTGCACCTGCTGGTTGACCTTGGGCAAGCTGTAGTTATGATAAGAGCTGTTCTTGAAAAAGAGCAGTTTCTGTCAAGAGCTCTCTCAGCCCCACCTATCTCACAAGGTGTCTGTTGTGGGGAGGGGAAGGCAAAGGAGTTTGTAAGCCGCTCTGAGACACCTTTGGGTAGTGAAGGGTGGGGTTTAAATCCAATCTCTCCTCCTCTTCTTCTTCAGACTACAGAGATCAGTTCCCCTGGAGGAAATGCTGCTTTGGAAGGTGGACTCTATGGCTCTCATCCCCAAACCCCAGCCTCCCCAGGCTGTACCCCCAAAATCACTAGGAATTTCCCAACCCAGAATAACCCTAGGTTATTCATAAGTATCAAATATTGTTATTATTACAGTTAGAGATTAATATTTATATTGAATATATTCCTGGGATCAATTTGGGGATGAATGCCGTCTAATAAACTGACACTTAATCCCAACAAAATTAAAGTGTGCTGCTGCTGGGCAGAAGGATTGGCCCAAGAAGTGAGGTGTCTCCTGTTGTGGATAGGGTTTCCTGGGCAAGATCTTGGCAATGTAGTGCATGCCCTGGTAACATCTAGATTAAATTACTGCAATGTACAGTTATGTAAGGAGCTGCGGTGGCTCAAGTGGTTAAGACACTGAACTGCAGGCTGTGGAAGGTCAGTAGTTCAGCAGTTCGAGATCTGTGTTGCCGCATGACGGAGTGAGCTCCTGTCTCTAATTCCAGCTCCTGCCAACCTAGCAGTTCGAAAGCAAGATATTGCAAGTAGATAAATAGGTACCACTTCGGTGGGAAGTTAACAGCATTCCGTGCGCCTTGGGGTTTAGTCATGCCGGCCACATGACCACGGAAAACATCTTCGGACAGCGCTGGCTCTTCGGCTTTGAAACAGAGATGAGCACTGCAACCCTAGAGTCAGACTCGGCTGGCTTTCGAGCAAGGGAACCTTTACCTTTACCTAGGGCTGCTTTGAAGAGTACCTGGAAGGTGCAATTAGTACAGAATGCTGCAGCCAGAGTGCTGACTGGAGTGGGTTGGAGGGACACTGTCTGGCTCCCAATTTGCTTCCAGACCCAATTCAAAGTGCTGGTATTGTTCTTTAAAGCCCTATATGGCTTAGAACCAGATAAGGACCTTAAGCACTACCATGGTGAACCTACCTATGAATCCAACCAACCAAGCCGATCTTCTTCACAGACCCTGCTTCGGCTGCCGTCATCATCTGAGGCTACTTGGGTGGCAACCTGAAAAGGTGCCTTCTTAGACATGCCACCAGAACTATGGCATCCCCTGTGAAGGGAAATTCACCTGCCCCTTCTATCATTATGTTGCCCCAGTGAGAAAAGAGTTTTCTGCTTTGTTTGGTGCTTCCTCACTGACTGTCCTTCCCATTAATGTGATTACGTATTTTGTTTAATTGTCGTTTTCCATTGGTTTAATATGGTGTTTTTCTAAAAGCTGGTTTGAATGTTTCTGATTTTTTTGTTGCCTTGGTGACCCCAAATTAGGTAGAAAGGTAGCATTTTTTAAATTACTAAATATTGCTTTCATGCACAAATGCTTAAATATGCTTCCATACCTCTGCTTGGGCCACATCACCACTTCCTTCTTCAAAAGACAGTAATTGGCATGGGGAAGTATTTCCTATTGCAAGGATCAGGAGATAGTTGATGAAGAAGACTTTCACCGAAGAACTGCTGCCAGTTAGAGTATGCAATACTGACCTTGATAGAGCAATGGTATGACATAGCAGAAGAGTCATTATTTTACTGGGGAAAGCCATCATTTACCACTTCACCTTGAGGGCTTTCTGCAAGCTTGATCAAAGTCATTTCCAACCACCTTCTTCAAACTTGTGTGTAGTGGTTAAGAGTCTGAGCTACACACTTTTGCCAAGAGCTCATCAGGTAGCCTTGGACAAGATGACCTCTCTCAGCCTTAGCCCTCAAGTACAGAGACCTGCCTTGGGAAGCTGCTGTAAGCATTACAGCACTGTAATATGTGATGTGCTCTGAATACATGGCAGCACTACAGAGAGGGCTCATTAACAACAAGAACAATAAAAATAATTCTATGTTATAGTGCCTGTTACAGATATACATCAATATATCTAACTCTCAATGTGGCCATCAATATATCTAACTCTCAATGTGGCCATCAATATATCTAATTCTCAATGTGGCTAGATCTGTGGATACTTAAATATGATAAAAAGAACATGTGTCACTTTAAGAAATGGATGGCCTCAGTATTGCCAGCCTCCCATGCTTGGTTTCTGTCAGTAAAAGGCAAGAGGAACAGGCAAGACCCTTTCCATGGCTGTTTTAGCCTTTAAGGGAGGGTCAGGCCTCGCAGCAACAAGCTAACAACTTGCTACCACCTGAATTGCATGATTCACCCAGGCCCAGAGGCTGATATTTAACAGCAGCCATTCCACAAAAGCCAGTGTGGTGTAGCGGTTAGAGCTTCAGACTACAATCTGAGAGACCCAGATATGAATCACTACTCTGCTGTGGAACCTCAGTGGGCGGCCTTAGGCCAGTCCCAATCTCAGCCTAAGCTACCTCACAGGCTTGTTGAAAAGATAAGGTGGAAGAGAGAAGAATGGTTTAGGCTACTTTGGATCCTCATTTTGGAGAAAGGCAGGACATAAATGAAGTAAATAAATAATAAACATAGCTGAAGATGGAGGGCAGATAAAAGGTAGGTCTGAGATGCAGGCAAAGAAAGGGGAGAGAATGTGGGGGTTGCTAGGAACAATTAAAGAGAAAATAGCACAGGGAGGGAGATAGAGAGGAAAATGAGGTACCACTCATAAATCCTTGCAGGTTTCCCATTGCGCAACTGGGCATATACAGCAGCTTTCACCACATGACTAGGCAATAGGTTTTTCTGGGTATAGTCTGCTGTGGGGAAGGAAAAGCTGAAGATGGAGGGGGGCAGATAAATTAGACAAGTGGATGGGAAGGAGGGAAGGAGGCAGGAAAAGTGTGGTGGCTATGGGGACTTTCTGGGAAGGGAAAGGGGGGGAAATGAGATACCCTCCGGCAAGTCTGTGCAGGCCCCTGCTTGTACAATAGCTTCAGATTGGGAAATTCCTGGAGATTTTGGGGTGAAGCCTGAGAAGTAGGGTTGCCAGACCCCCGGTTCAGGCAAGGGTTCCCTCAATTTTGGGGGCATCAGCCTGATGCTAGCCCACCCCAAAACAGGGACGTCATACAGTGATATCCCTGATGTGATAACATCACATGGAAGTGATGTCATTACACTGGAATGCCGGGTGGTGACACTCTGCTTTTTGGGCAAAACTCTATGGGTTTAGGTCAAAAAACCCATAGAGTTTTGCCCAAAATGCAGAATGCGATGTCCCCAACAGGATTACATCACTTCTGCATGACATATTCACATCAGTGACATCGCACGATGTCCCCACCCACCCCTGGAATGCCCCCCAAACCCCCCTGCCAATGAGCCAAGGGGACCTGGCAACCCTACTGAGGAGGGGAGGGACTTCAATGCCATAGAGTTCACCCTCCAGAGCGGCCGTTTTCTCTGGGGGAACTGATCTCTGTCGCCTGGAGATGAGTTGTAATCCCAGGAGATCTCCAGCCACCCCCTGGAGTTGGGCTACCCTGTTGCACAAGTATATTCATCGTTTGCAATCCACCCCACATTTGTTTTCACTTCCATGTTCTCTCCCAGCTCCATGGGGTCCCCCCCTTCAAGATTCAAAAGCTGTAGCTTGAGAAATCTTTCAGCTTTGATTTAGCTACTGTGCAATTTACACTTGCCCAATCCCTTTCGTTACAATTTCAAAATATGCCGGAATGTTTAGAGCATGATAACATCATCTTCTAAAGTTATGATTTCAAAAGCCTGTGCCACAATGTACTCCATTCTGATGATGGGTGTCCGGGGGGGGGGGGGGGCCCAGTGGGTTTTTTAGGGGGGCACAGCCTCCAGCTGGGACCTGGGGATCCCTCGGAATTACAGCTCATCTCCCTACTGCAGAGATCAGTTCCCCTGGAGGATATGGAAGCTTTGGAAGGGGGAATGTATGGCATCGTACCCTGCTGAGGTCCCTGTCATCACCCTGGCTCCATCCCCAGATCTCCAGGAGTTTCCCAACCTGGATCTGTCAGCCCTACCCCCATCCCTTGCTGGTGGCCAGCTTCAACAGGATTTGCTTCAAAGACATGCTTAGAATTGTTGCAATCCTATGTGTGCTTATTTAGAATAATACAAGAGAATTTGCTTCTGAAATAAAAGGAATAGCATATCAGTAAGGTGTTGCAGTTGT